TTTCTACTAACACAGCTATAAAACTATTGATTAAAGAGCCAAACTGTTTTTACAAGGTTTTGAAACACACTGGAACAAAAGGCAGTTAGTCAGCATGACCAGAACACAGACACAATTAGCCACTCACATCCAAAGTCACTCTCTGCTGTCAAATATAAGCTCAGCTATTTATTACAGACGCAGCATTAATGAACCTACAGCCTATTTTGTAAATATGAAACAATTTCATCCATCCTGTCACATCCTTGTCCCATCATTTTCATGATCTATTAAAACCTATTTAAGATTTACTAAAATAAATCAGTAATTCTTCACAAGTAAACAAACCATTCCAACTGATTTAGTGTACTTAACAGTAGATCACGCCATTTTATTGTAATTATTTTCAAAGATATTTCTGTTACTAATTGCTTGAGGTAAAAAAAAATGATAAACTTATTTTATAACAAAATCTAAAATTCAAAAAGATTTTGAAGAGTCTTAAGAATTATGGTTGATGAAGGGACACAATATCTCTGAAAATGACTCTGTAGTTTATAATATTTGATGACACATATTTGTCCATGACAGGGTGGACACAGCTTGTAGTTGGATCACAAAATGCAAAAAAAAATAGTGTTTTTTGTGGGCAGCCCTATCCACAGTGCCCAGGAAGCAGTTGGGGGTTAGGTGCCTTGCTCAAGGGCACCTCAGTCATGTCCTGTCGTCTCAGGGGATCAAACTGGCAGGACTGTTCCCTAACCTCCAGCCCACGACTGCCCTGCTGTGAGAATGCTCATGGTTTTGTAGCCAGAGGATTCTTTTGCTCTCAATATGGGAAAATTTGCTAAATGTGTGTTTGGAGAACATCTATATGAGCACTTAAGAACACATTTTAGAATCTTCTGGAATGTATTCTCCATTCCTGGCAGTTCTTGTCTCTGATGTTTCTAAATGCATCCTCCATACTCTGAAGTGGAGTGACCTGTTCGTGAGGACCAGGTGCTGATAGACCTTCCATAATCAGGACAGAAAACACTGCTCTTGGATTTAGAAATGGTGAATATGGGGGGAGGTGTAAATCAGAGCTTTAGTTGGTAGAACGACAACAGGGTCACACATACACAACACAGACCAGAGACTGTTTCTCTACTATTCCTCTCCTTCCCTTTCCCTACACTCCTTTCTCTCTTCTTTCAGATTCTCTTCATCACGCAGCAATAGCAGTGCTCTACCTGTAGCAGCTGTTTTGTATTTATGTGTCTGTTGCAGGTTTGAAACTCACAGGCTGGCTAGTGTAGCCATTTCAGACATTATACACTATGAGACACTCAAATCTCAGCCTATTTGCATTCCATTCTGATATTTATGGTAAATGGCATTTTGCCTTTATTTTTGTCTTATTCAGTCACGGATACAGGAATAACTCTAATATTTGTCCCATTGAAGTCAGAGCTCTGTAATCAATTTATGATGAGGTAATTTATCACAGCATAACTAAGATTAATGTGTAGAAATGTATGAAAAACACTCATTAAGAATGTCTGTGATGCAATACCCCCCATGGTAAAATAGACAACATAATTTAATAAGAAAAATCTCTTACCCATCTAAAACAATACACTACACCTTTGTGCAAATTATATGTAAACTAGATCATACATAATTACTGATCACTTTCTAATCTAACCCTTAGTTTCTGAGGTAAATCTATTTAAGATCAGTTTATTTGGATAAAGTCCTACAGACTAAAGTGTTTTGTGCCCTAGAAGCCTCTCACCATTCTTAGTGGTTTTTAAATTTTTTTTCCCTTTTTTTAATTAATGAATATAATTCCCTCTGTATATGGTTATATACAAGACCCATCATGCTAAATATGAAGGTTGCGTGTTACATGTTTTTATTCTTACCATGATGGTGTTTTGTGTTTATGTTTCAGTATCAGTTCAGCCTGGAGCTATGAAAGCTAACAGAAATATGCATTAAGCTTTTAGAGTCAGAAACGAGTGACTCTAGTCTTGTCTAAATCATTCATTTATTATTGAACAAGATCTATTTGATAGAATAGAGTTGTTTACACTGATGCTTATACATGACACAAAGAAGAACATTTGAGCTAGAACAGTTAACCTAGCTAATTCAAGCGTGAGCAGGACTTGGAAAAAGTGTATTCTCAAACAATTTAACAGTACAATGTCTGGTAGGCTAGATTGGAGATGGACATAAACAAGTCCTAATCTAAGTCACAGCATCCTTCTCAGGAAAAAAGCCACAGGCCTCACAGAAACACAAAAGCAGAACTATTATTCCTAATTGTTAGAAACATGTTTTTAAGTATTCTATATAAAAAAAAACTCCTTTGATAAAGGGAGATCATCTACATCCCTTCAAACTTATTTCCAAACGTATGCATTTTCTGCCTTCATCTTTGGAAAAGATTTCATGAGATTATCATGAAATATGTGATCAGTGATGTAGAAATGTGTTCTGCCAAAAAAAAAAAAAGTGTAAGCAGTTTGTTTTGAGAGATTAATGCAGTGAGACATGTTTTCCACACCGACTCAAGTAAAAACACATTAGCTTCAGATATTCTGAATTTCATACCAACATACAGTAACAGTCTGTAAGCAAAACTATGAGACTTGAATTGTATTATCTATAGAAAAAAAAAACATTTTCACACACTGTTTGTGAACAGACTGTAAGGTCTTTATCCAGCTGATCAAAGCATTGTTTTGGCAAGCTTATTCCATCACAGATGGCCAGACAAAATCCACTCCTAAATCCATCTGCAGGCAAGAAACGGATTAAACCAAAAGGCAAGTCCTGCTGGGAGCTCAGTCTGAGTAGTAGGCCATGTCACTCACATTTACACTGCAGTTAATCTCTCAGTGGCCTTTTTTGAATATTCATATAATGTGTGATGTTTTTCTTTCCCACAATCTGGAACTTGTACATGTTTACACAAAACCTGAACAATATAAACGATAACCAAAACAACAAACAAACACTTATTTAGACAGATTTATTATCACAAAAATTCCAAAAATAGCATCCCCTTAAACACTTTCTAAGAACTTAATCTGAATTTATTTTTGTTTGGGTCTTATTTGACTTTATACTATTTTTGTGAACTTGCTATTTTAATATAATCGAATTATTTTGCATATTAGCTATATATATAAGGACTAATTTGATCATGAAGCACACTACGTAATACCATACAGATTATACTGCATAATATACACTACCAAACAGATTATACAGCACACTATGGACTACCATACAGATTATACAGCACACTGTGGACTACCATACAGATTATACAGCACACTGTGGACTACCATACAGATTATATAGCACACTGTGGACTACCATACAGATTTATACAGCACACTGTGGACTACCATACAGATTATATAGCACACTATAGACTACCATACAGATTATACAGCACACTGTGGACTACCATACAGATTATACAGCACACTATAGACTACCATACAGATTATATAGCACACTGTGGACTACCATACAGATTATATAGCACACTATAGACTACCATACAGATTATACAGCACACTGTGGACTACCATACAGATTATATAGCACACTATAGACTACCATACAGATTATACAGCACACTGTGGACTACCATACAGATTATACAGCACACTATAGACTACCATACAGATTATACAGCACACTGTGGACTACCATACAGATTATACAGCACACTATAGACTACCATACGGATTTATACAGCACACTGTGGACTACCATACAGATTATACAGCACACTATAGACTACCATACAGATTATACAGCACACTGTGGACTACCATACAGATTATACAGCACACTATAGACTACCATACAGATTATACAGCACACTGTGGACTACCATACAGATTTATACAGCACACTGTGGACTACCATACAGATTATACAGCACACTATAGACTACCATACAGATTATATAGCACACTGTGGACTACCATACAGATTATACAGCACACTGTGGACTACCATACAGATTATATAGCACACTGTGGACTACCATACAGATTTATACAGCACACTATAGACTACCATACAGATTATATAGCACACTGTGGACTACCATACAGATTTATACAGCACACTGTGGACTACCATACAGATTATACAGCACACTATAGACTACCATACAGATTATACAGCACACTATAGACTACCATACAGATTTATACAGCACACTATGGACTACCATACAGATTATACAGCACACTATAGACTACCATACGGATTATACAGCACACTATAGACTACCATACAGATTATACAGCACACTATAGACTACCATACAGATTATACCGCACACTGTGGACTACCATACAGATTATACAGCACACTATAGACTACCATACGGATTTATACAGCACACTATAGACTACCATACAGATTATACAGCACACTATAGACTACCATACAGATTATACAGCACACTATAGACTACCATACGGATTATACAGCACACTATAGACTACCATACAGATTATACAGCACACTATGGACTACCATACAGATTATACAGCACACTATAGACTACCATACATCTTATATAGCACACTGTGGACTACCATACAGATTATATAGCACACTATGGACTACCATACAGATTATACCGCACACTATAGACTACCATACAGATTATACAGCACACTATAGACTACCCTAGTGATTACATAACACATCATAGAATACCATAAAATAATTAATATAAATATGTGGTGTAGATTCCAGGCAGTTAAGGAAGAGGAGGATGGAGGATGCTCTCACGATTAGCCTCGATCATTTACCAAAAAAATTAAAAAGTGAAGAGTCTAACTGACAAGGACTACAGCAGAAATAGTAAACGTATACCGAAACAGCAGCTTCACCACGATCTCATTTTCCACTCAGCTTCAGCCCAAACAGCTGGAGCAAAGTTAGACTTGTGAGGCTTTCAATAAAATCGTTGTGTGGAGGATAAACTGTACCTTTTATCTCAGTTTTTGTCTGTTCTTCTTTGCTGTTTGTCTGCTGTGTACAGTCCTCACGATAATCCAGTTCTCCTCAGCAGAAACTCACTCCTGCTCTTTCAGGATTTTCTCCTTGGCCAAGAACAATAGAAGCTCTGCTGTGCCCTGCTGCTCTCCCCAATCACACCCCCTGCATTTTTGCATAAGCTGACCACTTGAACCGGAGTATGGTTAGCACCCCTCCCACTACATTAGACAAATTAAAAACAATCTGTGCACTACGCATTGATGGTTGAATATCAAAAACATGGAAAGACTTTATTTGAAAAGGCCACTGTAAATGCTTAGTAGATGCTTAACTTGCAGTTCAAATCAAATCAAATCACATTTATTGTCACATCACATTAACACAGGTGGAAAGTGAGTGAACATCTTAGGTGCATAGCCACCTTATAGAATTTAAATACAAAAAAATATAAATATCAAAGAAGAAAAAAGAAATATATACACTGACTCTGAGTATACACATACACAGTACACACTAGTATTGCACTATTCCAATGTACAGTTGTACTGTAATAAGTTATGAAATAAAACTATGAAATGTTCTGTTGTACACATTTCCATATGTGCAGTTAGTCTGAGGTAGATAATAAATGAGATGCAGGTACTCAGGAACAGAATACTGACATAGAAATCTTCCAGATTATAAAATATATGGATAGAAAGATGTACAAGATAACAAAACAGTTAACAGATGTAACAGAGAACAAAACAGTTAGTGAACCGCAGATGCCACCAGCCTATAGCAGCAATGATTTTATGAACTTCTTTAGTGATAAAATTGAAAAAATTAGGCAGAAAATTCAGAAACACAGTTAAACTCTACAAACCTGCTGCCTTATAATGCCAGCCTCAACCTTGAAAATATTATAATCCCTGCAGAGAGGCTGGAATCATTTACCTTGCTCCAAGAAAATGAACTAGTTAAAATTGTTTCTTCCGCAAAATCATCTACTTGTATGCTAGATCCGATTCCTACAGGTTTACTCAAGGAAATTTTACCAGAAATAACCAAGCCTATTCTGTCAATAATAAACTCTTCTCTTAGCCTTGGGTACATCCCAAAATCTCTTAAACTAGCAGTAATTGTAGCAAAACAATTAAGCTCCTATTTGCATAGGAATCAAATACACGAAAAATTTAAATCTGGCTTTAGGCCACATCATAGTACAGAAACAGCACTAGTAAAAATTGTAAATGATCTATTATTATTTTCTGACCAAGATCATGTGTCCTTATTAGTCCTCCTCGATCTTAGTGCGGCATTTGACACAATAGACCACACCATCTTACTAGACAGACTAGAAAACCTTGTAGGGGTAACAGGAACAGCTCTTTCCTGGTTCAGGTCCTACCTCACTGATCGCTATCAGTTTGTTAATATAAATGGTGAATCATCTGTTCTCACAAAAGTAAAGTATGGTGTTCCACAAGGCTCTGTTTTAGGACCTGAATTATTCACATTATATATGCTACCACTAGGCACCATTATCAGTAAACATGGCATAAATTTCCACTGCTATGCTGATGACACTCAGTTATATTTAGCAAGCGACCCAGATGATAAAATTAAACTTATCAAGATTGAGGACTGTATAAAAGACATAAAGGACTGGATGTCGAGTAACTTTCTCCTTCTAAACTCAGATAAAACAGAGGTTTTGCTTCTTGGTCCAAAAGCAGCTAGAAACAAACTGTCTAATTTTACACTTAAACTTAACAATTTCTCAGTTGCATCAAGCTCATCTGTAAAAAGCTTTGGTGTCATTATAGACCCTGATCTGTCCTTCGACGCACATATAACTAATATTACTAGAACAGCCTTCCTGCATCTCCGCATTATTGCTAAATTGAGAAATGCATTCTCTCTACAGGATGCAGAAAAGTTAGTTCATGCATTTATTACTTCAAGGCTAGATTACTGTAATGCCCTGCTGGCTGGATGTCCCAGCAAAAGCCTTAACAAGCTTCAGTTGGTCCAGAACGCTGCAGCCAGAGTCTCACTAGAACCAGAAAGTTCGACCATATCAGCCCAGTTTTATCAACCTTACACTGGTTACCAGTTAAATTTCACATTGATTATAAAATTCTCTTACTGACCTATAAAGCACTAAACGGACTCGCCCCTCAGTACCTGAGTGAACTTCTCTCTCACTATGAACCATCACGCCTACTTAGATCACAAGGTGCTGCTCACTATTAGTACCTAGAATTAATAAAGCTACATTAGGGGGGAGAGCTTTCTCATACAAAGCCCCTGACTCTGTGTGTTTTCCTTTCTTTCCTTTGCCGAGTTGAACAGCTGCCCATCCTGTGCGTCTGATGCTGCTGCCTCTGCTGCCTTGATCGGGTGCCACTGCTCGCCGTGCAAACCTCACCCTCACAACCTGACCCCACTGATGCTGCTGCTGCTGCTGCTGCATGAACTAAACTATTCAAATTAATTGTTTGCTCCACCTCTTTCCCTGTTTTTGTACTATAATACTTTATACTAACAATGTTTACTATCCAGTGTCGACCAGAGGAGGATGGGTTCCTCTTCTGAGTCTTGGTTCTTCCTGTTTCCTTGGTTTCTTCCTGTTTCTCTTAGGGAGTTTTTCCTTGCTACTGTCGCCACTGGCGACGCTCATGGGGGCTTGGACCCGGATTTCTTTTTGTAATGCTCATTTCCTTGTAAAGCTGCTTTGTGACAACACCTGTTGTAAAAAGCGCTATATAAATAAACTTTACCTACTTACTTACTTACAAGATGTCAGTCTATATATGTAAGTGCAGATTTGCTAGATTGAAGGTGCAGAGGATCAGAGTGAGTCTGTTGAGTTGTGGATGAGGTGTAGATTATCCATGGAGAAGATGACTCAGAGGTGCAGTGACAGGCCTATAGACCGATACACCTGATGGCCCGGGGGGAAGAAACTGTCTCAGAACCGGCTGGTTCTGGACTTCATGCTTCTGTACCTCCTCCCACTCGGCAGCTGTGAGAACAGACAGTGGCTTGGGTGGGTGGAGTCCTTTAGAATCCTCCTGGTCTTCCAGTTATCTTACATTCTACTTATTACCTATCATATTCACCTTTAATTACCCTGACTGACTTCAGTACAAATAAACACAAACCAGTTTAACAGTCTTAGGTCATGGTTTAGTAATTTAATTACAGTAGCAGCAGTTTTTCTGTAGAATGAATTTAATCTTATTTGACTGCACTCTGTTTCCTGCAGGATTGACCACACACATGTATCCTGTTGTTTTCAGTCATCTTTTAGCCTTTAACCCAGGAGGAAAATGTTCATTAATTATTGAATGCAATGTAATGTAATTCTACTTTTTTTTTTACATTATTTGCTATCTGGTATTGATCTGAGAAAGATGGGTTGAGTCTCTTAGTGGTTCCTTTTTTATTTAGCAGTATTTCTGATTGAGTCTTGGTTCATCTCAGTGGTTGTTCCACATGTTATGAAGTTTCTCCTTTCACTTCAGCAAGAGGTGGGTTTCTAAACCCTCCTGTAGTAGTAATCTATGTAGCTTATGCATACATTTTAAGGGGTCCACCATGGGCTTACTAAAGTATATTATCATCATACTGCTTTGTTTTGCATTCATACATATTCATCAGACATAACTAAACAAAACAAAAAGCAGTTGTAGTCAATTTTCTTGTACACTGATCCATAAATAGACACTATCTATAATTGGCCTTTTTTATCTGAACCCCTTCACGACCACTTACCCAGAGAAAGTTCAAAGGTGTGGAAAAACTCCAAACCTGAGGGTTTCCACGAGAGAGAAAGACTGAATGACACAGACAGAAATCAAAACAGAGATTCGTTCATTAATTACACAGATCTGTCATGGAAGCCTCAAGTAAGAGACCCACGTCTTGAGTATGGGATCACTTTCATTCCTGCAGACAAAATAAAGTGAGATGTATGAGATGTATGGTATATAAATACTGTCATACTCAAATAACACCTTCTTGACAGTATTATAATTATTTTCATTACCACAAATATTATTATGTAACTCTTAATTTCTTGGGAAGTTGTGATGTATGCATAGTGAGAAGCCAATGTAATGTGCTAAATAACTATAAGATATTTTTAATATTATTTTCTTTGTCCATAGCTAATATAAGATGGAAAATCATGTCGCTGGTATATTTATTTAATGTTCAAATTAACAGGTGTTAAGCTTCAGTGGAAATATGACAATCAGTAGAAAACAGTCATTGTAGGACTAGGTGGCAGCATGGAGTCCGGTGTCAAATGCTTCAAAACACTGAACCATTTTCCAACACAACTGTTTCAGCTGTGTTGATGCTTTGAAAAGCTTCGTAACTGCCATCGCTACCATATACAAAAAAGACCAAAACAATGCAAACATTTAGGGACTGGTGCTTCAGATGAACAAAAACAATATTTTTCAGTCCATATCTCAGTGTATGTTCAGTGTTTATTCGTGAAACGTATTAAATATAAGAATCTTAAAATATTAAAGAATTCATGTATATAAAATTTAGCGGAGTGTTCCAAGTTAACAGTGTGAACTCTTTTAGTCCAGCAGCTCCAGAGAGCAGCTTCAATCCTGAATCTTTGTTATTAAGGCCCAGATTTTTCAGGATGAAATTTATAAAAAAGATTATAATTTATAATAAAGATTATAGATTGTGTACATATATATATATATATATATATATATATATATATATATACATATATTTATATATATATATATATATATGAGGATTTCTGTATAGAAATAAATGTTATTTATCCTCCTGTGTCAGCGTGCCTCCATTCAGCCGAGCAATGTCAGGCCTTTCTACATTCCTTTGAAACAAAACTAATCAAGTATATAATTTCCTTCTCAGTCACCCACCTCTTCTAATTTTCCTACTCTGGGCACAAAACTAACTACAGAGAGAAAGAGAGAGAGAAAGAGAGGAAGAAAGAGAGAGAGACAGAGGGAGAGAGAGAGAGAAGAGGGCGGGGAGGAGGGATTAGATCAGGCCAGTCAACGACACCACGACAGAATCACTGCTCAGAGTTTATGAAAAATCGTATTAGACTAGATTTCTTGTCTCACAGCTGTTCACGACTGTTTATCTTCAAA